CAGAACTACCTAATAGCCAAAAACTGTGAAACAACCCTTTAGCTCCAGATTAACATCAACTTCAACACACAGTATCAGCTGATGGCAAACACACCTGTGACCTCACTAATCCAACCCAAAAGCCTTGACAGCAGCGTAGATCCTCTGTCTCTCTGCTGCTCTTGAATGCTTTATTGCACCACTGCCAGTTTTCATCACGGTGAAGACGACAGCAGAATAAACCTGTGTGTCCTCATCTCTCTGAGGAAATACATGACATGACAAAGTTAGAAATGACATCACAAAACTGTTTCAATGAGGTTAATTCTATGATACCTATTAAATTCCTTACCTGTTGACTTTTCCGACCACCACTGTTTCTTCGCACGGCAACAGCAGCTGAAATTACGAATAAAAAAATTAGCAATAAATACAGATGCAGTAGTTTTAATGTAATTCTGCTTGCTAGAAAACTATAAATAACTTCTATTACCATTGTAACAATCATTCTCTTTCTTCTTGATGGCGTAGATGAGGACGGCTACAACAATCAGACTTAAAGCCAACACAGCACACAGAAGAAAAATAACTGCATCTGCATCCTGTGAGCACGTACTGGTTCCTGAAACATCAAGAGGGAAAAAAGTTAAAGGTAAATGATATTTAATGTCACCTTCTGGTTAAATGACTGCAATTAAAAAAATACAACAGCAATAGCTGATCCTAATGGATTTGATTTGACTTGTAACACACATATACACACATTTTGTAATTTACAGAATAATGACACAGTTACCTTCAATGTCCAGTTTTGTTCCATTTCCAAATAATATCTCTCCACATGTGGCCACAGCACAGTAATAAGTCCCGGCATCAGAGGAGCTGACGTTCTTAGAGAGGCTGTAGATACATTTCTGTGAAGATCCAGCTTCAGGACTCTTCTCACACTCAGCACTGTTTCCATGTGCGTAAATGGCACTAGGATGAGATTCATCTGATGCGGCTCTGAACCAGAACACACTGTGTTCTTCTGGGCATGTTTTCTTCTCAGAGTCAGAGAGGACTGAACACTGCAGAGTCACTGAGTCTCCTGGACGGACTGGATCAGATGGAAAGTCTTGAGTGACGGCAGTGAGATCAGGTTCTGGTCCTGGAAAATGTCAAGATAAAATGACATGTTTTACTCAATAAAAATAAAAGTATTGAAAATTTTAAATTCATATGCTTTAAACCTTTTCTATACAATATGGAGATATAACTTGAACCATAATGAGTTATGGAAACACATATACATGTAGAAAAATCATATTATGTAAACTGATGGTAAATATGTTGGACTAAAGCATGGTTATTTTTTGTCAAGTAATTTAAAATGTCTATTTACCTTTAACTCTCAGAAGTGTAGATTTGGAAAATGTCATGTCCAGTAGATATACTTTTAAACAGTAGTAAAGTCCAGTATCACTCAGCTTTGTCTCATGAATATGCAGAATAAATGATCCAGGCTCTTGTTTTGCTGTAATGTGAGGAGTCTTGTTAACACCTTCATAATCAAAGGCATATGTTCCTCCCAAGTATTCAGGTTTTTTTCCAGAAACAAGCCTGATCCAAAATATGGTTTCTTTTTATTCAGATGTCTGGCGAGTACAATTTAAAGTCACATCATCTCCAACTTCAACAGTTGTCGTTTCAAAGACGTGATCGTCTGTGCATCCTGAACATAAAATTAAATGGAGCAGTGATTAACAACAGAGAAAGAAAAATGTACACACTGTACTAAATTACTGTAAGAACATAATATTTTANCACACTGTACTAAATTACTGTAAGAACATAATATTTTAAATGTATATCTGGAGTAAATCTGACTTCTGTGAATATACTTACGTCCCACTCTGAGCATCAGCAGCAAATAAAATATGATCACCATTTTCATGTTAATCCACTTGTAGCTGCAGCTAAATTAGAGCGTATTAGAAGATGATTCGCCTTAATGTAATCATGGAAAGTGGGAGGGAACATTTCAGAGCAATCTGATTGGCCTCTCGTTATGTTGGTATCTCACTGTATCACCACAGTGGAAATAAAATCAACCATCTTTCCAACCTGAAACAACACAACAGCACACTTTTGTTTCATGTTTCAGGGTGGGTTTCTATAACTGACACTGAGAGTAAACACAAGGTCAAGCTGGGGGGGCACTTTTCTGGAGAGGGCAATGAAAAAAAAAAAGAAGGTAGAATTTGAAAATACGTCTCACCTCTCTGTCCAGACAAGTATGTGCATATGCAGGGGCTTCATACTGTAACCCATTGTTTCCCATACACTGACCTATTTAATCTTATTTCATTCTCTCTGTTTATCAGACCACAGATGAGACAAGAATTTGCTACCACACCCCGCAGTCCCTCCTCCTTGTTCCCCATTGCTGTGGACTGCTTCGCCAGGGGTAGAGGGGGCAGTGGCTCCAGGAACACAGCTGTGGTCGTCAGCCACAGCAGCTCTAAGTCATCAGTCACAGCAGGCTGGTGGCCGATGGCAGCACCAGATCTAACCTCTGTAACAGCAGCAACAGAGTCTGGAAGTCGAGTCCGTCTGGTCACTCAGCATAGGCTGAGTTTGAGTTGCTGCAGTCTGGCTCACAGGATGTAGACTGCTGGTATACGCCTGCCATTAACCTCCGAGCTCAGATGGAATTGTCTTCCCCTTCTTTTTTCTGCATGGTACGGTTTTCAAAATCGCCGCAGTTACGTGAAACTAGACTCACATAGTCAGAACTATCTCCACACATCATTTTAGCGCTGTGCATGAAACTACAATAACTACCTCCAAGCTACAGTAGCAACGAGCCCGGTCTCACTTCGAAGTTGTCGAAATCTAGTGGTTGGGCAGTGACTTGTGGTGTCAGAAACCAAAGGAAAAAGCCGTCCTGTAACATCAGCATGATATGCTGCCAATGCTGTTAGAGTTTAATGGCGCCCAGCAGCGTCGGGGGAAATGCGCCAGGACAAGGATGAACGTTAAGGCTGCAAAAGTCCGACTGAGGCAGGTGGGAGGGGAGGGGTGGTGGATGGGTCCAACAAACACCAACTTTCACCCAAGAAAACAGTGTTCATGTCCCTTAAGGTTATAAAGATTATAAAGCCAAACCCTGTTCTTTTTTTCTAAACCCAACCATGTGCGCTTGTTGTTGAAGGAAAAGACAAAGTTAATTCACGGTGTTGTGCCGACATAGTGCTTTTATTTTGAAAGAGACTGCATGTAACAGGAAGAACTTGTCACGGTGTCCCAGAGTGTCAACAACCAATGCACCCAGGGTACCTTGCACGTCGTATGTGGACGTGGAAGGTCCATGACCAAACGTCAATATGTGACAAGGTCAGAGTGACAATGTGTTGTAGCAACCTACACTCTGAAACATCTTCAAATGTTTTATGTTGCGTTTCTTTTGCAGGGATTTAGCCATGTTAATGCCATGGCTCGCCTTCCCACGTGCAAACATTCCGCCAAAACAAGTTCTCTCCGGAAACCATTTTGCGAGAGCTCTGTCTTTACATCATTGCAGTTTTAGCTGTCTTGGTCCAGACCTTTGAATCTGCCCACTTCATTGAGTTAACTGGTTTGTCTGGCATCGTGACATGAAACAGAGGTTTCTCGGTTAAAATCAATAGATCCACCAACCATTGTAGCGGTATTAACGATCAGCCAATCAGCACCATGGGCGGGACTAATGCCATTGTCAAGCTGCTGTAACACTGTGTGCCTGAAGCTATGAGGAGTAATAACAAGAAAGGTGACCACTATAGTCAAGACAGACGCTGCTATCGAGGCTGTTCTAAATCAACGCCTTTTTAATATTTCGCCCGATATCTTTGTTTTTACGTTGCTTCGCTCCACTCTTAAAAATCAAGTGAAATCAGTATGTTGGCATGGCGACACATCAGTTGAGTATTGAGTAATGTTTGATTCAGGCAGATACACTGGTCAAGTGACAATTCTGTCTGATATCAGTCAAATCTTGTAGTGACAGTCAAATGATTCAACAAACATAAGATTCAGAGTTAACTTTTATCTCAATGGCCAAATATTCATGTTTAAAAAGGGCACTGACACCACTGGCCTTTAAATATATCACATGTAATTTATCTGTAAATATATAGAACTATGTCTCTAGGCCCAATAGAAAGTCCTACATTGTTGTTACCACCCAGTTAAACAGGAATTTATGGATCAGTTTAATTTGAGTTCATATAAAAAGACGTATCCAGCCATTTGCCACAGTGACAAAGACAGAGGAGCCATCTTAAATACTGTATGAGTCAGCCAATTCAAACACTCCACATCATCAGTGATGACCCGCCCACTCTGCCTGTCAGTCACATCAGCAGGAAGAGCACAGCGTACAGAGGAGGGCTGTTAAACCATCCATCCTCTATACTCACTTCACTTCTTTTCAGAGAGCTGCTGACAGACAGCAGCAGAGCGACACTCTCACAGTATCACAGGAACATTCACCTGGAGCTGATTTAGAGTTTCTGACCTACATGTTTTTATCTGAGGGAGAGAAGCCATGTGACCCTGGGAGAAAACCACTAATGAGATACACCAGTGATTAACAAGGTGATTAACATGTGTAAAACAAACCATAATGTATGGTTGACACTGTCACTATGACAGTAACAGGAACACCTGACAATATAATGCAGTCCAACACCACAAACTCTGGAATCAAAATAATGATTAAACAGAGTTCAGGTTTCCCGCCAACTTGAAAGGTGCAAGGAGAATAAAAATAGATATACAGTCAACCCATCTATCTATAGGACCAAAACTCATCACATTTGTTCGACCAGCAGGTTGTGGTTTGTGCTTTTCATCACGGTCAACATATTGTTGACAACGAGCCAAAACACCCTTTGCACACACAGACAAACACACGTTCACAGTTACGATAAACAAATGCTGCATGGAAACTTCAGCATCGTTGTGGTCGGGCTTCAAACTAAGGTGTCAGTACAAAGAGGCTGTTCTACCTTTCTCACTCTGTGTTTCAGCCTCAGGACGCTGGGCTTTACTGCTGCTGTCAAAAGGAAAGTTGAACAACACTATATAACTGTTATGTTTATTTTTAATATCACAAGAACTCACAAAGGTGGGTGAAGGGTTCAGGAGGGTTGGACACACACCATGACCCAGTTGCACTTACTCTCAGTTGTTTGGTGCTTGTCACTGGTGGTAGCTGTCAGAGGGAGGAGGTGCTAATCACTCACTGGTCCCACCCTGGTCTTTCTGTCAGGAGCAGGAGTTTGAACTGTGATCTGTAGTTTGCCTGATTATCTGCAGACAGGTTTGACAGCCTTGCTAACGTCACTTGGTGCAGTTATGGACCGGCAGCCTGTTCAAATTAAAGTTGAATAAAACAATGAATCTATATTAAAATTAAAACAAAACATAAACTAATGTGCATCTGTGAAATTGTAAGATTGCAGTTGTTGACACCTTTGTTTGCATATTTAAAACCACAGGACTGATAGATATTTGTACTGTGAATGAGCACATTAACAAGGTGAAAAGTTAGCCTGCTGAAGCCTCTTGTATCTCTCCTCTCACTACACATCCTGTTGAAGCCCATCGTCAGGTCTGTTCTGAGTAAACAGCCTTGATGGTTGGTCAAAGGGAGGAGAAACGGCCCACCACAGCCTGTGTCTGTCAGTGTAGCTGTTGCATGTGGCTTTGCTTGACATGCAGAGGGTCTTTACAAAGTGCTGTGAGACCAGAGAGATGGAGGGGTTCATTCATTTCAGTAGTTATGCCCTGACATATTTAGTATGTCAGAATATTAGTTTATCTTATTAACATCTTGTTTTTGTGACATAGCAAGATTGATTGTGTCTAGAGAATAACATATCAGGATGTATATGTGTTAGCTATGCCTCAACAAATTTTCCAGTTGTGGTGAACAGATACACAGCAGTTCACGTTTGAAACCACTGACACACACACACACACACACACACACACACTTCGGCCTCTTTCCCAGTTTAGAAGTGAAAGTTTTGACAGCATTTTGGGTGCAGGAGTCTCATCTACACAGCATGGGGACCCATTTGCAGAAAGAGCAAGCTTAAAAGATAATGAGATGGATGATGTGACAGAATCGGTTCAAAGAAAAAAGGAGGTTAACACTGTTTAACACTGCTGTGGTGCTGTGTAGTGTTTGTGTTGTGTAGAGTGCAGTTAGAAATGACTGTGCATCATATATGGAGGATAAATCAGTAAATAAATGTAAAATACAGACATCTCTTATCCTGTGTGCGCCGTATAAAACACAGATGTGGGGGGAGGGGTTCTCTGTGAATAGGACTGAGGGCAATTAAGTTTCAGATGTGTTTAGAAAGCAAAACAACATGTAAAATACAAACTGTACAAACTTGTCTGGGACAAACAGAGAGAGCCCTCTTTCTCTCACACATATGTTTACCTGTGAGTTTTCACATCTCTGTGGTTTTGGCCACATTTCCTCTCACCTTTCGCCTGCAACTGTCAATCAAACCTGCGGGCTACATCCTACGCTGTAGCCAGTATTATATCAAACATTCTTTGGATGTTCAAATTTAAACAAATATCAAACATTTCACTCTAACTCCAGGATGACTTTTCCTTACTGTAGCTTAGCACAGCCACAAGAAGCAAAGGAAAGTACAGCCTCATGCCGTGTAGTGTAAGATTTAATTTTTAATCAGGTAAAGGTGTTAAACTGCATAAGTTGATTAAGAGTAAAAGTTCATATAACAATGTTTTATGTATAAGTTCCTATAAAACTGTTTGTTATGCATCAATGTGTGATAAAACGCTGTTATACAAGTCTATGTATTCATAACACAAGGTTATGTATTCACATTGAAAAGCACACATATACCACACCATGTACTGTCTGATGATAACACACATACACTCTAATGTTTGTATTGCATGACACACACTCTAAAGTTCACATTGTATGAAAGCACAGGGGACAGTATAAAGAAAGTCCCCAGGTTTCACATGTTTTTAAAAAATAAAGTGAAACCAGGCTCGAATCTAATGGTGGGAGAATTTGGGGATTTCCAGGCCCGGAGATTACACCATTAGGTCATGTTTGGACAAGGGCCCAAGGGGCCTGCCACCAATAGATTTGGATCAGATGGAAAAGGGCTAAAAAGAAAAAGACCTGCCACCAATAGATTCGAACACAGGTAGGATGGACTAAAGGAAAAGGGTGGAGATTCTCTCGAATCTTCACCAGCATAAAAGGGAGAGCGCAAACAGTGAAACTTCAGTCTTGCTCCGGAGTCTGACTCAATGAGTTGTATGTGTTAAAGCTTGTGAACACATTAAACTCGATTGCACCAGATTCTATTTGACTCCAGTGTTTCTCTAAGTGTCAGCCAACTGAACCTAAGATACTAAAACAACTCAGAGGAAGATCTGCAAGAGAAGTAGAAGACGAGGTCGGGTGCCATCTGGCCCACTTCCAGGCACCGATTTTTGCTTCTACAGCTGCTAATGAAGCCACAGATTTGCTTTTCTATTTCTATTTAAGGCAGGCTGTGGAATTAACTTGTAAAAATTCAGTTATGTTTAAGGAAACACACTGTGTCTTTCCTGGAGGAGTAACTCTCTTATAAAACATATGAATCCATTTTTTATAAATACCTTTGAACCTTCATTGTTTATAGTTGTGTTTTCTAGCTAAGAGACGTCTTCCTCCTGCATTGCTACATTTCTCTGCATGTAACCTTCACCAACTGTTGACCAATAGAATGGCATGAATATGGCAGAAAATGTGCATTGTGTCATCATGTGCATGTGAACGTACGACCTTGTGCGTGTGCTGCTAAAACATGACAGTGATCACAACGTTTAAGTTAAGTGTGTCAATTAGACAGATGTTGCTGTTGAAAGACTTCCAGTGCTTGTTCTCACAGTACGTACACACAAAACACACCCACACGCACAATGCTGGTTATTATGGAAACAATAAATTCAGTCATGTGGTGAGAATAAAGACACTGCTTTGAAACCTTAACAACAACAACAACGTGTAGACGTCCCATCGAATGAAAACAGATCACATGTTTGCTAACTGTAAGGAGGGGGAAGGTCATTTTCCACAGTTCAGCCAATCACAGCGATGTCTACTTTGTAAACCTTGATCGCCTCTTGACTAAATCTTCATTTGGGTGGGAAGACATCAGCAGTGCAAGACCAAGGTGCTGTACCACAATGATCGGAGGACTGGCTGCTTTGATTCTTCTTAGTACAGGGTGTAAGTGCAATTCTTACCCAGAGAGAGAAAGACGATGTCAATGGCAAATACTTTACCTTTTGACTTTGTCCCCTCATGTTGTAATTCTGCTACTGTTTGTCTCTTTTCTTCAGCTCTGCTTCAAACTGCAGAGGTTCCTCATCAGATCTCTCTGACTGTGGTTGAACTTGGTGGGAATGTTACTTTGCAGTGTCCAGTTTCTGAGAAGGAAGGCAAATTCTTTTACTGGTACAAACAGTCTCTTGGATATATGGCCCAAACAGTTGCAACTGCAGTTCAGGGTCAGTTAACAGTAAGTGAACAGTTTGACAACCCACGGTTCAAAGCAACAAAAGGAGTTGCTCAGTATCTTCTTACCATCACAAATGTCAGCAAAGAGGACGAAGCAACATACTTCTGTCACTATGGAGCGGCGTATTCATGGAGTTTCAGCAAAGGCATCTTCTTGGCTGTGAACGGTAAATATCTTTTATTTTCAGTGTTTGTGCCAAGTTTTTATGTCCTACAAACAGTTTAGATCATTAAGTACTTCTGATATTTCTTTTCCTGACTCATGCAGATAGTAATCAGCAGAAACGTTTTCATGTGAAACAAAGTCCGGAGACTGAGTCGGTCCAGCCAGGCGACAGAGTGAATCTCCAGTGTTCACTTCTTTCCATGAACAAAACTAACAAAGATGAGTGTCCAGGTGAAGACAGAGTGTACTGGCTCAGATCTGGATCAGGAGAATCTCATCCAAGCATCATTTACACTGACAGAGACAAACAAGAGGAGAGAAGTTGTTTCTACAGTCTGTCCAAAACTATACAGACCTCCTCTGATACTGGGACTTACTACTGTGCTGTGGTCACATGTGGAGAGATCCTGTTTGGTGAAGGAACTAAAGTGGAAACAAGTACGTGTTTACAGTTGTATTTAAGTCAAATGTGCATCTTATAAGAATTAATTTAGCCTGGTTAAATTATGTTAATGTATAATGTATGTCACATATCATGATTATGAGTCTGATAGTTTCTTACTGTATCACATTACAGTTACAGAGCAGATACTTATGACTAAATAGTAAATTGAACATTGACTTACCAGTTGTGCCTGCTGACAAATGCCACTGTGCCACTGACTCCCAAAAGTCGCTTATTAAATAATGCTCAATGCTTTGATTCAGGATCAGAACTTGAACCAGTTGTCCTTGCTCTTGGAGTCCTGTTGGCCTGCTGTGTGACTGTGATTGTCGTCCTTATCTTCTACGGAAATCGAAGGAAAGTTTGCGAACACTGCAAAGGTAGGGTCACCACTTTTTACTTTCAGGTCAGTGAAAATGTTTTGAGGAGCAGCCAGGGGTTATAGTGGGCCAAAACAATCCTGATACGTCATGTGTCTGCTGGGGTTTATGTAAAGGGACATGATAAGTGCAGCCAGACACTGTGAGTATGCAGTATTCTTCAGTGTTGCTTTATCTTGCGTGGGCTACAGGTAGCCTTCTGCAGATGTCAGAACACTCGCAATTTGTTCACTACTTAAGTTTCATGCTATTAACTGATCAAACAAGTTATCAAATAACTAGACTTACAGCATCACAGTTGTATGTCTCTAAAAACCAGTCAAGTTGCAGTTACAGTTTACATCCATGTCTGTGAAAACATGAATGCCTCACACACATCTTCCCCATGGCGGCAAAGATGATATAATCAGCACAGTTTCAAGGTGGACACCCAAGACTAGTGTCACCAATTCAGTATCTGACCAAATGTTTCCCTTTCTGTTGCTGAGTTATGACGCTGAACGATGACCATGTTTTTCCAGGACATCATGATGTCACAGTGAAGTTGACCTTTGACCACTAAAATCTAATCAGTTCATTGCTGAGTCCAAGTAAACATTTGTGCCAAATCCGAGAAATTCTCTCGAAGTTGTTGGGACGTATCGTGTTCTAGAATAATACAGACAAGGTCACAATGGCCTTGACCTTTGACCGCTAAAATCCAATCAGTTCATCATTGAGTCCAAATGGACGTTTGTGCAAAATTCCCTCAGGGCGTTCATGAGAATGGGATGGACGGGCGTACTGACCACCTGAGAACATAATTCCTCCAGTCACGGCTGACAGCAGTGCAGAGGCATAGAAAAGAACACTGCTTCATTAGCAGGAAACTAGCGGTGCTCTGAAGGCTAACTCGTTAGTAATCCGTGCTCCTACCCTGCCAGCCTGCACTGATATTAGAGGAGCGTTAACAAGTGCAGCAACTCCTCTGATGGACTTAAGTTTTATTTTGGGCATCATATGCCATCAAACGGGGGAATGTGACATGGAAATATGTCAAAATGCAAAACTGTCATGCACAAAGCAGTGACAACAATGTAACGTTAGCTAGCTAGCTACAAGTGATTTCTTTTGTCATGCTTGTTATAAAGAAAAGGGCCATAATTCATTGAAACAACATTAAATTAAGATAATGTGATGGCTATCGTATTTTTAGGTCTTCATTAACAAAGCAAAAACAAAAACTGTGGGCTTCTTTTGTTGCTCTTGCAGCCATCTTGATGATTATTTTTCTTCACACTGAGTTTGGAGTGAGTCTCTGAAAAACCTCCATTTGGAGGTCCATGTAGCTCTAACACTTCGCCCTACCCCTCTATCCCAACAAGAATTGGGCCTAATACTCTGTATGGAGTGGTATTCTATGTAAAACAAACCAACCTATTGGAACAGTCAGTTCAGTCTCTTTTCCTGGTTAGACACTGGTTTGATTTTTCTTGTCATAGTGTTATTATAAACCTGAGGTCACTATACTGTACGTGATGTTTTTGAATTTAAGACAATATTTTGCAAACTGGCTGGTAACTTTAATTGTCGCTCTGAGTTATGTCCCACCATAATATCCTGTGGCAGCAGGAAATATTGAACATTTAATTTTGATTTTCCAGATGCCCTCAAGCAAAGTGCTTCAGCCGACTGCTGAGAGCTCTGGTGGAGTTAATCAGTGTTTGTCACTATAACACTGAAGCTGTATTAAGCGCAGTACATGAGTCAATGTGTTTAACTGAAAAGACTTAAACTGAAAAAGACAAAAATCACACTGAATGATTTTTTTTTTTTTTTTTAACAGAGGCGATGATTGCTTCCCATCATCTTGGACATGACAGATTAACCGTGGATCAATCTAATCATCTGGTAAATATGTGACAGTGTGTTGTCCTGTGTGGGCATGTGATATTTTGCTGTTCTTAACCGTTTAATTTAGCGGATCTGTTGTACAAGAGACATATAACATAATGAACATACAACACATGTATAATAATGTATGTCTGTTACTACATGATAAATATGGATAGAGTCAAGAGATATAAATATTATAGTGGTGACTGTGAAATGTCAAATTAAAGAAAGTATGTGAACCTCACTTGTTTATATGTTACAGCTCTAATCTCTGAAATATTTGTCATTAACACACAAATATATTATTACATTTTATGCAGGATGGTGAAGAAGAGGCCACAAACTATGCAGCACTGGAGTTTTCCACAAGGAAAGTGAAAAGAGGAAAGAGGAAGACTGAAAACAAACCAGAGTGTGTGTACTCTGCTGTAAAGGCAGATTACCACAACCAGCAACACCCCTCTCTGTAGACCCGTGGTTCCCAATGGGTGGGTCACAGTCCAGAAGTGTGTTACAGGTCCATTCTGAGTGGACTGCAAGTGACTCACAAATGTGTCAAGTTTGTAAAAAAAAACCTCTTTATTTTGGTACAGAGCTTTTATTTTGAAGTGTACTTTCCTGCTGTAGAGTGTGAGTGACTGACAGACAGCTACTTCTGTTTGCTTCTGTTGTTTTGCTTACATATAAATATGGCATAAGATAATTATATTGTCTTCTCATATGGAGTGACTGCACCGTCATTCATCACAAATACAACAGTATACCTGTAAAGTTGTTAAGGTGAGAAACTTAATAAATTCTGTTTGTGTCTTTTGGATTGATTTCAGTGATTCTTGATGACCAACTCTTGTTTTGCACCGTAACAGATCACACCAGCAGCAACAGATTGATGTTGGAAAGCAGTGCATTTTATTTATTGACATAGTTTAAACAGAGTTACAAATCAGGTTCAAGAGTAGTTACACAAGAACAACAACAAAAATAAACAAAAACAAAAACAGATCTGATCCACCTAATATATCTGTGCCAACACTGATCCATTGAAAAATTCCATATTTACAGTTACTCCCACTTTGGTGGAAAACCTAATTTGAGTAATGTCCATGTTAACTGACACCTAGCTTCTTTCTTTCTTTAGGGCCAGTGTCCACATGGCCACATTCACTCCCAACGCTTATTTTAATGATGTGCTGCACATGGTAGGTTTCTATGACAACAAGATCATGACACTAATATTAGCTTGGTAGCTAACGTAATGATACCTTAACATAGGGTTAACTACACATTCAACAACAAGCTTACAATGCGTACATTGATGAAAGCACAACACTCACCAGCAACATTCAGCGTCTGGTCGTCTGCTCCCACAAATGGGCTGCTCTGTCTTTGCTGTGATGGTTTCTGACTGACATATCATACAGTCGCTAAAGGAGCGGCTGTGACGTCACCAGCACCTTTGTGAGAGGTTCTGAGGTTTCAAACTGGAAGCACTTGGAGTGGCCACATTAAAAAGCTGGAGTGCTTTGAAAAAAGATGCTGGATGCGCAGCTTTTTCTGAAGGTGGGGTCTCAAAAAATGGGCTGCACACAGATGCCCACATAGGCATCTGGCAGACCCTCATAGACAGGGTTGAATGGTGACATTTATCTTATCAAAGTGGACCAAAGCGGGGCCTTGCAGACACCTGCATGCACATCATTACCTAATAGCCACATATAACAAACCCTTCAGCTCATAACAGACCAACATTAATCAGATCATACAGTACCATCTGATGGCAAACAGACCTGTGACCTCACTAATCCAACCCAAAAGCCTTGACAGCAGCGTAGATCCTCTGTCTCTCTGCTGCTCTTGAATCCTTTATTGCACCACTGCCAGTTTTCATCACGGTGAAGACGACAGCAGAATAAACCTGTGTGTCTTCATCTCTCTGAGGAAATACATGACAAAGTTAAAAAAAGACCCATAACTGTTTCAATAAGGTTGATCCTACTGAACCGTTTCATTCTTTACCTGTTGACTTTTCTGACCATGAAGGTTTCTCTGCACTGCATCAGCATCTGAATTTATTAAATAGAAAACATATAGTTAATAATAAATACAAATTCAGTAGTTTTTATACAGTATTGTTTGATAGAGAGCTAATTAATGACTTCTATTTCCGTCGTCACAATCAGACTTGTTTTTCTTGATGGTGTAAACGAGGACAGCTTTTACAGTCAGACTTATAGCCAAGACAGCACACAGCAGAAAAATAAGTGCATCTGCATTCTGTGAGCACGTACTGGTTCCTGAAACATGAAAAGGAAATAAAATGTGTTAAATTCAAGGGTGTTTAATGTTATCTCCTACTAAAACAATTTTGCTAGTTAAATTATAAAAAAAGGCTCATTTGACAGTCTGGCACTCAAAGAAGCAAATTTCTTAATAAACAAAACAATGACACAGTTACCTTCAATTTCCACTTTAGTTCCATCTCCAAATAATATTTGTCCACATGTGGCCACAGCACAGTAGTAAGTCCCAGCATCAGAGGAGCTGACGTTCTTAGAGAAGCGATAAACACAACTCTTCTGAGTGTCAGAGTTCCTGTCACATTCATCACGTCTATTTCCATCAGTGTAGATGATGTCTGGATGAGATTTATCTGATCCGGCTCTGAACCAGAACACACTGTGATCTCCTGGACACATTTTGTTCTCAGAGTCAGAGAGGACTGAACACTGGAGAGACATCGAGGCTCCTGGATGGACTGGATCAGATTCTGTCGGCCACTGAACAACAGCATAGTTTGATGTCCTCTGAGTGTTTCCTGTGTGTTACATAACTGTGTTAAAAGTTTGGCATCTCCACACATGCTTTGACATACTTAGAAGGATTTAAGATTAGTTAAAAGTTAAAATGCAAAGTAAGCATTACATACATTAATCTAAAATGATTCTCTGCAGAAATTGTTGATAAATATTAACACAGTGCAGCTTTAAGTGGTTAAAGTGATTCTAAACATTGCCATAAACAGATCACATAATTACCTTTTAATGACAAATAGGTGCCGGTCCAGGTAATCTCAGTCCACTCCATGACTGCGCAGTGATACATTCCCTCATCTTCTTGAATCGTCCTCAAAATGGTCAGACTGCTGATTTTGTTAGAAATGTTTACATCCAGTCTTGAGGCAGAAAACTCTGGTCCATACACATGGCTCGCATGTTTCTGCAGTCTCACAATTAATTTCAGAGTCTCCCCGGCACTCTGCTTAAACCAGTGGAGTTTATCTCTAAACTCATTAGGCAAATCACACGTTAAAGTCACAGGTTCACCAAGTTGAACTGTGGTCACTGGAATCAGCGCATCTGGATTAAATGAAAATACAACACATGAAATAACAAAGGAGAATTTGTGCATAATATAAAAAAATGGAGGCTAAAAGGAAATCACATGAACAACCCTACATCTAGTTTGCATGCAGATACTCAGATTAGAAAATATTTAGTTATCGTTAGCACACTTACATCCTCGATGAAGAACAAGCAGTGTAACCCATAACAGGATCATCTTGACACTGTCTATTAACATGAGACTTGTTGGTTTTTACTGAGTAAAAGGAGGTGATGTCAGCTGTCAGATGCATCTGATTGGTTGTCGCAGAATCTAGATTCAAAGTTAATTTCCTGCCACACTGGTTCTATCCTGGTCTGTGTGAATTGTGTTACCTCTCTTTCTCATCCATCACTAGACTATGAGATTTCTATGACTTTGTCTAAATTTGGAGTGTTTTTCAGGTACCAATTCTTGTAAATGCAGTAGGTTATATCCCACTGCTGTTATTACTAAATCATAAATGCCACGTCACTTCTAGTTCACTGACAGATACCACTTCACACACAGGGACACAAAAAAAACTGACGCTGTGTCCCAAATTGCATACTATGCATTACATGCTCAATATGTGTTCTACTATTGAGTACTTTTGTGTACATGAACAGTAGTATGTATATTTTTAGACGTACTAAGCTGTAATTATCACAGCACTTCCCAAGAGTCTACTTGCTTCCTTGCAAAATCACAGGCAGCGAGACATTAGGGACTTTAAGCAGTGGCGGATTTTGCCACGGCTATGGCTTCTGGAAATAAATCTCTCCTGGCGCTGGTACCGTAGCCGTCAAATCCACAGTAGTCTGCTTTGGGTTCATAGATGGCACCGTGCAACCCATAGCCAGACCCGGGACCGATCAGCGGACCCTGTATAACAGCCACAAGCGTGTCCACAGCTTAAAATTCCAGGCCACAGCACTCCCCAGTGGATTAATTGGCAACATCTATGGTGCAGTAGGTAAGAACTGAGTAAATAAAACACACAAAACATAAAGAGCACTCTCATAGAGAGCAACAAAGCACAATGTGAAACATATAAATAAATGTGCATGTAATACAGCAACGTAACTTAAAAGTCCTGTCTTACACCTGACCATCAACACAGACAGATGCTCTGCCTCTCACGCATGGTCATACATAATATTATTTGTTTTAATGCAAAATTATGAAATTAACTTAAACTGTATGATGGCAGCTCTGTAAAATAGAAACATGTGTTATGTATTACGTTACTTAATTTTCACAATATATAGGCTATAGGCTATCATATATTATCACTCCTTAAGGAATGGTTATTTGGGGACATAGCCAACTATTTCAAATTCATGGATTTCAAAAAGAACTTGAAGATCGAGTTGAGCAGTGTGGGTAAACTTTATGTAGTATCTGCTCTTCTAAGGAATGCATTAACATGTTTGTATGGAAATCAAACCTCACAATTTTTTGGCCTTGACCCTCCACACATTCAGGAGTACTTTTCATAAAATAGGTGGTTGGATGTGATTCATTTTCCATTTTCTTCTTTTGATTTATAATGTTATACACAAGGCTATTCCAGAGACAATAGTCTTCACTTCGGTAATCCACAATAAACATTATTATTTGTATTCTGGATGCGTATTCTTGCTATGTGTGATCATTGTTTACAAGAACTGAACAGAAAAAATATCTTATAAGTCCCAATATGAATAATACTTTTTTATTCACACGTATTCAGTTAACAAAAATCCACAGCTGGTATTCACTTAAAAAAAATTATATCCACAGCTGGTACTCGTACTCGTCCCCCTGCAGGCCCACCACCCACAGAGGGATCCAGAAGGGTTCGGTGCAGTGTGGATTGGGCAGCAGACCAAGGCGGGGGCCTTGGCGGTCTGATCCTCAGCTACGGAAGTTGGCTCCACAGCTGGTATTCGGGTAAAAAAAAAATGTTTCAAAATAAATAATATTCACAGAGGTAGGCTATTCAGTTTACAAACAAATGTTTCAAAATAATACTCACAGCTGGTAAAAAATAAAAAATAATGTTACAAATAATATTTCAAGAAATCTAGAATTAGTCCTTTTTTTTAGGCTCTCTATGAGGGCAAGC